TGGGCGCATTGGCAGATCGTTCACGTGGAGACCTGGCTGACGAATGCCCGGACCGTGGTAGACGCCAGCTAGCTCATGTTCACAAACACTGGCCAGCATCAACCACAGGAAATTTGGGCAGGTGAGGATCACCACGAAGAGCAGCCAAAAGAAGCCCACCAAGAAGGTTAGGCTTAGAAACTGCAAGAGTAAAAGAAAGAGGGGGATGAATTAACGTATTTTGCCAATCAAGGATGTAAAGCCAGCAAGTCCTTAAGGTACAGTAGACTAGCCAACTGATGAAAACCTAGGAATTCCAAAAGAAAATCCCGGTTAGGCAAAATCGGCCAACGCTACGCCCCCAAAGCATGACAGCAGCAAAATGGAGGACGGTTGGTAAAACGAAAGCAGATTGCGGCTTATAAATTCTTTAGTAACCTGTTTAGAAATACTTGGTTGGTAAAAGAGCGCAAAATTCTGAAAACCCGAAAAATCGGTTTAACTTAACTTTTAAACGTACAGAAAACCTACCTATGGAAGAAAGAGTGAAAAAAGCAGTACAAGCGGAATCACGTTTGAAAATAGTCCTCTGGTAAACTTGGCAGAGATAAATCTTCCATGCTATGTGCTATGTAAGGTATTGCCACTAAAAACGGTTTGAAATGCATGAGACTAAGGCGAATAGATTTTAGGTCTGTTGCGCTGATAGGGACATCACAGCTTCCTGTGCCTCAAAGCAATTCAACAAACAAAGAGAAAAATGCAAATATCCGCCAGAGTACCACATAAATTTTGATCTGGAAATTTCATAAGTTAGGGAATCTAATAGATGTATGTATATATGAGCTTAAAGCCCTCAGCGATCTGGGTACGGAACATACTCGTCCCGTTGTGCCTTGGAGCTCAGGAAGGCGCTCGCATAACGACTTTTAATATAGGATGAAGTGTATATACAGGATACATACATGGTAGACATGGTAAATGGTACAAAAACGATCGTTGGTCCGTTGCGGGGCTCCGTCATTCCGTTGTGCCTTGGAGCTCGCTCTCTAGACCCTCCAGCAGCCACTCAACGGCTAGCATATTATAGGCAGAAATGCATTATCGACGAAGACAAGGGAGACTGTTCTGGCCATTTTTGGCTTATTAGCCGTCATCAGCTAGCCGCACCCAACTAGCTAGAACCTATGTCAAGGTACGGTGCGTCTTCGACATATAAAATGCATACTATTTGTTTGTAAAATGCGCATTACATGCTTATTTCAAAGTAAATTATTGTCTTCTACTCAAATGTTCAGTGAAAGTTGGGTTCTGATCCTAAAAAGGCGCGTCCGGTCACTAAAATCCATATCATGCCTTTTATAATTTCTGAATGTGTTACCCTGATATATACATGCATATGAGATAAAACAAGATCTTCGGAAATCTACTTGTACTCGGGAATTTTCGAACAGGTAGTACTTGTTCGTCGTCAGACTAAATAAAGAGTGAGGGCTGGGGATGTCGCACTAGAAGTTTGGGGGGCAGAGGTTACATCGAACGGGGATGAGGAGGGCGAGGGTTACAGTGACATGAATCCTGCTGTGATAGGTTCTGCAGGT